TAAAATGAAGAATATGTATTTGATAGCCCAAAAACAATGTGCTGTTGCCCTGACAATGCCATGCATATCAAACAGGCAGAGTTGCTTCTAAATATAGCACGATACAGAAGCAGCGAGACTAGACACATGCCTACTGACCATACCCAATTGTAGAAATAAACATTGTAAATAGGGAATAATATGCTTTCCTTCTCCTGACTGTGGCTGATATACAAAAAAATAAAAAAAAACCGTCCCCATAGTTAGCAGAAAGTGTTTGCTTCAGGTCTATAAAACAATAGTATATCGCAATTCCCATGGAATTTCAATTTTTTATATTGGTACCAACATCTTTTGCTGAACACTCTTAAGCAAGACCTAAGGACTGTTGTAATAATCATGTTCTCGTGGGAGAACAAGCCAAGCTCACACCCTGCTGAGTGAGCGATTCCAGGGCTCTCAGAGTCCCACGCCCAGGACCGCAGCAGGTTACAGCTGTCAATCCCCGAATCGCACCCAACTCGTCAGTAACCTCACAGAACGTGCACCTCTCCGGGCCTCAGGCACAGGGACGGTGCTGTAACGGAGGGGGCCAGCCCAGTGCTTAGGGAATTAGGACCGTCCCATACCCAGGTATTTCTGGCTTCTCCTGTGTTCTTCTGAGCAGTTGAACGAAACTCCACTCTTTGCAGTACCGCAGACCACAAATCCACTCCAGGCCAGTATGAGGCACAGGGTGAATGACTAACAGATACCTGAATTCTGGCTATTGCTCCCCAGAACAACTCCCACTGAATTTTCACTAACGGTCTGGTGACAGGCCAGGTAAGTCTCCATTTCCAACTGGACATTTGCAGAGCAAGATGACCTTGGGCCGCACAGGGCCACTCTGGACCTTTCCCCATAGAAGTCATGCCTGCCCTAAGAATTAGAACCCAGGAAGATGGCCTGGAATCAAAACTCCAAAACCACTAAAATTGTTGGAAGAATGCTTTCTTAGTGCCATTAACGGACCTGGTGATTTTCACAACTCACCTGTTTCGGTAAGAGCCAGCGGTTCTGTGCTCACCATTAAATTGACGGTGGAACTGGAAGCTGGCCTTGCTGGCTGTGGAGGTGGGGGCTGGGCTTTCCCTATAAAGGAAAGACAACACGTCGCTAGTGGGTAAAGCGGAAACTGAAGGGCTCAGGACTCCTTAGCAACTGCTGTGAGGTTGCCTTTCCTGAGCGGTGTCTCATCCGAGGGTGGCCATGGAACGACAGAGAGGCGGGAAGTCTCTGTGTACACCCCTCACACTGCTGTCCGCGAGTCATCGGATCCGTCCATCTTCACGCAAGCGGAGGGAAGAGATCCCCGAACGTCCCAACAAACCTCTCTTCCCCGCGTGACCTGTTCTGCAGCCGTCAGAGAGAACAGAGCCTGGGGCTGGGCGGGTCTCTGGACTTGTCTCTCTGGGCCTGATCGGGGTGTGGGTGGGGATCCCCTTCCCTCAGCACTGTTCCAAGAGAAAAGGGGAGCCCCCCCTCCTCGTCCCTAGAGCAGAGGCGGCAGGAAGAGTGGGAGGGGGAGCCCAGGAGAACGCAGATGGGAGAGAGAGAAGGGGCCACGGATAGTTGAGGAAGGCTGGGGAGCGTTTGGGGCAGCTGCAGGGACAGGGCAGAGCCCAGGGCAGCGGGACAGAGGAGGGCAAGGCTGCAGGAGAGGAGGACATCCCTCGCCCGCAAGCGGTGAGACTCCAGGGGCACCTCCGTTACTCCCCAGGGAGCCCCGACTAGCTGGTGTCGCTCGCTGAACAGAAGCACGGCAGGCGGGCCGGAGAGCCCCCAGGGGCTACGTTGGAAGTGCCGTGCTCAGGCCACCGGATCCCCGTCAAGCAGCCCGGGACCTGGAGGCAGGGCCACATTTCCACATGCAATCCCATTTTCCATTCTGTTGTTTTATTTATTTACTTTTTTTTTTTTTGAGACAGTGTCACTCTGTTGCCCGAGCTAGAGTGCCATGGGGTCAGCCTCGCTCACAGCAACCTCAAACTCCTGGCTTAGCGATCCTCCTGCCCTCAGCCTCCGAGTAGCTGGGACTACAGGATCGCCACCATGCCCGGCTAATTTTTTCTACATATTTTTAGTTGGCCAATTAATTTCTTTCTATTTATAGTAGAGACGGGGGTCTCTGCTCTGCTCAGGCTGGTTTGAACTCTGCCCCTCAGCTCCTCCCCCTCGGCCCTCAGAGTGCTAGATGACAGGCGTGAGCCACCGCGCCCGGCCTCATTCTGCTGTTTTAGAAAGTTAGGGTGCCACCAAATCACCCGGGGCTTGTGGGCTATTTTTTTTTCCATTTTGCTGCCATTTCAGAGCAGATTCAATAAATAAGAAAGTTCCCTCTACGTCCTGTGTGGCAGTCCAGGTATGACTCAGTGTGGTCGTTTCCTAGACCCCGGGTACTTACTTGTACTGAAGCTGCCGTGGTAGGTGGCTCTGACCTGCGACCTCAGGTAGCAGACCACCGCCACGTGGTACGTCTGCCCCGCGAGCAGGCCCCCGACGACGCGGCCGGTCACCGTGAGGTTCTGCCTCAGCACCAGGGACTGATCGTGGGCGGAGGTGACTGTGAGGTCATAGAAGTAAGAACTCGGGGGCTCGGGCCTGTCCCAGTGGATCTTGGCGCTGTCCTCGGTGATCTCGGACACCTGCACTTCTCGCGACGCCTTCGCTGGAAGACAGACCAAAGCAGAGGGTGCGGCTGAAACACAACTCCTGCACACACTGCAGCGTGCGGGCCAGCGGGCCCAGCTGAAGGGGGTGTGTTGACAGACAGTGGATAAGAAACTCAGGGGAGGCAGGGAGCTGACTTCTTGTTCCAGCTCCCAAGGAAACATTGGTTTTGTCATCTAACCGCATACGTGAAATGTGAAGCTTGCAGTAATTAAAAATCTCTGTGTTTTTATCAAGGTACATGGCTGCCTTTTGTTTTTCTATTAAAACTGCCTACTGTTCAGAAGATACATTTGAAAATGCCAGGCCCGGCATGCTAATCGCAAGTGGTGGTCAATGCAAAGTGAGCCCCCGTCATTTAAAATATATTAAGTCGTGAAATTTTAGGGCATGACGTGAATTTATTTTAAAGGAGTCTCTGTTTTCTCTCTGTTCGTAAAACGAAGATAATTCCCATCTTTTCGTGAGCCTTCCTGTGCAGCTAGTGACCCTCTAGAGCAGGGGTCCTCAAACTTTTTAAACTGGGGGCCAGTTCACTGTCCCGCAGACCGTTGGAGGGCCGGACTGTAGTTAAAAAAAAAAAAACTATGAACAAATTCCTATGCACACTGCACATATCTTATTATGAAGTAAGAAGACAAATGGGCAAAAACACCCGCACGTGGCCCGCGGGCCGTAGTTTGAGGACGCCTGCTCTAGAGTCTTCTAACACCTTCTCCGAGGGGAGGATGAAATAACACGCTCTGCCTAGTTCAGTCTGAAACCCGTCTTTGTCAAGGGCAGCAGCAGCAGCAGCGTGGGTTTCAGCCTTTGGGAGGGCTGGCCATGCAGGCTCCTCCTCTGCAGCTGGCTGAGCTTGCCCCCCCCATGCTGCCTCGGGGCACAGCTGAGGGCTCCTCCTCTGCAGTTGGCTGAGCTTGCCCACCCCCCCATGCTGCCTCGGGGCACAGCTGAGGGCTCCTCCTCTGCAGGTGGCTGAGCTAGCCCCCCCCATGCTGCCTCGGGGCACAGCTGAGGGCTCCTCCTCTGCAGTTGGCTGAGCTTGCCCCCCCCATGCTGCCTCAGGGCACAGCTGAGGGCTCCTCCTCTGCAGGTGCGTGTGTCCCAGCAGGACAAAGCCTGCCCTTACAAAGGGCTCCTGCCAATCTCCCCAAGCCACACTCTAGGGGAGGAGGGTCTGGCTCCAGACAGCAAGCATAGAAACACCCTCTTGCCCGCCTGAGAACCAACAGCAGGGCTACTTCTTTCTTTCTCTTTAACTCCCTCGATAGCGTCTAAACCCCTGCTGCGACATAGAGCCTCTTCCCTTTAGATTTAGACAACCCAATTTCCGGGTGAGGTGGGCTGTGCCCCACTGACATCCCAGAGAGAATGGAGGCCTCCCACCCCACCCCAAGGCAGGGCTGGGGGTGTGGGCCGGGGAGTGGGAGAAGGGAGGCAGCAGAGGCCAGAGACCCATGCCAGCTGCATTTTCTAGGGCACTGACCAGCCTCTACCAACCTAGAGGGTCAGAAGACAGAGACACAGAAAAGAACCGATGTTCTGACAGTCCCATGCTCTGACCGGCACCTTTTAAAATACATCATCCGTACACACAGACCTCAGATCGATGTTACATTCTGACTGCTTTACAAACAGGCTCTGAGGACATAACAAGGTGGTGGCCCTGACAAGGCTTCCTTACCCACAGGCTTGGCAGTGGCTGGCTTGGTGGTGGCTGGCTTGGCTGCCTGTGGCCTGGGAGCCTCGGGCTTGGTGGCCACTGGCTTTGCAGGAGCAGCAGGGGGTCTCCCAGAAGCTGGCTTCGCTGCTGCTGCAGGCTTTGCTGCCACTGGTTTTGCCGCCACCGCAGGTCTGACCGTGGCCGGCTTTGTGGCCACAGGCTTGGCAACCACAGGTTTTGCAGGGGCCAGCTCCTTGGGAGGGGCTGGTTTTGCAGGGGCCGGCTCCTTGGGAGGGGCTGGTTTTGCAGGGGCTGGCTCCTTGGGAGGGGCTGGTTTTGCAGGGGCTGGCTCCTTTGGAGGGACTGGCTTTGCAAGGGCCAGTTCCTTGGGAGGGGCTGGCTTTGCAGGGACTAGCTCCTTTGGAGGGGCTGGCTTTGCAGGAGCTGGCTCCTTGGGAGGGGCTGGCTTCACAGATGGCAGATTTACGATAGTCACCGGCTTTGCTGTGGTCACTGGCTTCGTTGTGGTCGCTGCTTTGGATGTAGGACTTGAAGTAACATTATTTGGAACGTTTCTGTTGAGACAAATTAAATGTTACCTCTACCTGTACTTTTGCCTGCTATCTACAGTAAACAAAGACATAACCTGTAAGCTATGTGAAATTTGCTAATTTAGCAAAATGCATGCAGTATTTTTAGAGATTATGTATAGTGTTGCATATATTAAATTCCTTAATTTTAGGATCTGTGCCACACACACAAAAGAATACTGAACAGCATGTAAAAAATGGAACCACTAAAAATGAAGCTTATACTGTACTATAAATATATCTGACATCTTATTTTCAATTTATAAAATAAAGGCAGGGAGAAAGTAAAAGAGAGAATAATACATGATATTTAACAATGTTCTAATTATAACAATTAACCAACTGAAACATGTACCAAAAATTAAATAAAATCAGTAGTTAGCTACTTTCACTATAAGCAAGTATTCTCTCAACAAAATGCCCTGTTTGGCTAGAAAATTATAAAGTCAGCAAATACCGTTTTGTTTCCAGGGCTTATCGTTGGGAGTATATGTATGTCTTGCTTCTGTTAATTTGGACGGGGCTTTTTTGTTTGTTTGTTCAGATTTTTTTTCTCTTTTTTTAGAGATAGCGTCTCACTCTTTCACCTAAGCAGGAGTGCAATAGCGTGATCACAGCTCACTGCAACCTCAAACTCCTGGGCTCAATGATCCTCCTGACTCAGCCTCCTGAGTAGCTGAGACTACGGGCACATGCCACCATGCCTGGCTAATTTTTTTTAAATTTTTTTGTGGAGACAGGATCTTTCTGTGTTGCTCAGGCTGGTCTTGAAATCTTGGCTTTAAGCAATCCTACCACTTTGGCCTCCCAAAGTGCTAGGGTTAAAGGAGTGAGCCACCATGCTTGGCCTTAATTTTGATTTGTTTGTTTGTTTTTCAATTTCTTGATCCCTTGTGAATCCCTGGAGAGACAAGTAATGTAGTAAGACACCACAACACTGACCCATGTTTTGCTCCTCTCTTGCTCTTAGAGGAAAATTCATTATTTTACAGACATATGGTGCTATGTGTCATATCAAGTATATTTTCAATTTGATATCATAACATTTCAAATAGTAGGTTACTTAGTTCATTCTGTTTTCCCAAAGATAATAATGTTGAGCCAATTTTAGGGAATGTTAAAGAGAAATAATAAGGATCAAGTGAGCAGGGCTAGCCTCATAGCACCAGGGCAAGGACAAGCAGCTGACCACAAACATGTAAGTGAGCCCAGTGTAGACCAGAAGAACCACCCTGCTGAGCCCAGACTAAAATTGCTCACCCACAAAATTGCAAATTAAATGAATGGTTCTTGTTCTAAGCCACTTAGTTTCTGGTAGTTTGTTATGCAGCAAAAGCTAACTAATCCAACAAATTCTTTGAGAAGAACAGCCTACACTACCCCTGGGAAGTCACAATTTCTGAACTTCAATGTCCTCATACATAAAGTTAGGAGTTGGATAGAGAACTTCTGCATCCCTGTTAGCACTACAATTTTTCAGGCAATAACTATATTCACTTACACTTGTTTGTGACCAAACTTCATAGAATTCTTTGCTGGTTGGTCCCCTTGGAACCAATCACACTGTTTCCTGATATCTGGTGACAAGTAAAAAGCATTTTCACCTAGAGAAAAACAGAAAAAAATTAAATTTGATGTGCAAGAGAATTACATGAAAGTTCAAATTAATCTATTAACGAGTTAAATGGATCACATAATATTTATGTAGCCCCTAAATATTTGTTGAATTAATTCTTCCAGACAAGCTATGTCCATCATACTTAAACATTAATTATGATGTCACTTGATCCATGATATATACTAAGCCAATATGTTCTATTTGGCAATATTTCAGTGACTAGGTTAAAGACAGTAGTATTAACTCAATGTGAAGGAGAAGACAGGAATAGAAAACCATCAAGTGGAGAGTTTAACAGGTTCCAAATTCTTGAATGTCAAATTATAATCCAATTACTTTTAGTATTCTCTCAGTGCTTTGTTGAACAAAGCATTTGTTTATCTGAAGACAGGAATGATAACTCCTGGGTGATCTGGCTGGCTTGCCTTTGCTTCAGACATTTCCCCTAAATCTTTCGGGGGACAGGCCTTCGCAAATGGGAATACTGTTTTCATAGATGCCAATTTCCCCTTGAATGATAAACTTGCAGCACACGCGTGCTTATTTGTATTTGATAAATCTCCCTCATTAGTCAGATACTCCGCCTCTCTATGTCTGGGCCATGCACTGTGGCAGGCTCGGGGAACTACAAAGGGCTGCACCTCCTCAAGGAACATGCAATCTGCTGGGGACCACCAACCTGCAAATTAAGGCCCACCAGGCCACGTATTAAATAATAGATGCGGTAAGTGCAGGGTCCATACAAACCACAAGCAGGCGCTGGCAGTGGGAGCTCCACAGCGAACAGGAGTGGCCGGGCCTGAGCTTTGAAGGTGCGTGTGGACTTGCTGCCAGAGCAGGCGGAGAACGGCCGGGGGAGGGAGAGCCCCCTCGGCAAAGACCCAGAGCTATCCAAGTGGGGGTCTGGCGGCTGAGCCTAGGTCAACACAACTCCTTCTAGAAGCTTCCCCCAGCGCCCCCAACAGACACACTTCTCTTGACACGCCAGCATGTTATGTCACACATGATAAACGCATTTTCCCACCCCCTTGTAAAGCATCAGGGACACCAGCAGTGCCCGGCTGGGAGGTGCTTGGTGCAACGTGGTGGGATACCAGTGAGGGAGTGGGGACAAGCATGGCTGCCGGTGTGTTCCCTGAGGACTCAGGCTCCTAAAAGCATTGCTGGCACCTGGGGGTGTCAGTTACGGTTGTTGAATGAGTGGACAAGTTCATGTCAGCACATGGGTTGTCTTTCCCGGGACTGTTCCCCACCCCTCCCAGCCCACGGGTGTGGGATCGAGTGGAGACGGGGCCAGGGCGCCCACTGTCGCACTTACTGCTGACGAATGAGGGCAACAGCCTCCCGAAGCGCATCAGAGGCTCCTCGTTGAGCTCAGTGGACTTATCCACCAGCTTGAAGAAGACGTCGTTGGGCTCGCTAGAGAAGCCGTAGACCTCCTTGACGTTCACCTGCCTGCCGATGCCTAGAATCACGAAGAAGTAGCCCTTGCACTTGGCCTGCAGGACGGCTCTCTGGGCCTCCTCCAGCTCCTGCTCCTGCACCCGGCCCGTCAGCATCAGCACCACGACTTTGAGGTCCCGGGGGTTCGGCGCACTCTCGAAGACGTTCTCTATGGTGTAGTCGATGGCACTGCCCAGGGCCCTGGTTCCCTGCAGCTGCGTCATCCCCCTGTCGAGGAAGTCCACCAGCTTCCCCTTGGAGCTGTAGTCGGTCAGGGAGAACTCCACCTGCACGGGCGGCACGCTGGCATTGCCCACGGACCCGTAGGGCGCGTGCTGCACGACAGCCACCCTGGCGAAGTGCTGGGAGGCCTTGGGGTCTGGGCTCATGTCCAGCTGTCTGACCAGGTACCCTATGTACTTCTTCATCTCGTTGAACTGGAACAGGGAGGTGGTCTCGGAGCTGTCCAAGATGAAGGCCATGTCGATGTCCACATCGCTCCCTGCCGCTCTCCTGTCCCTAAAGACAGGCCTCCAGCTGCCAAATCCGCAGGCCGGGTCGATGTTGCAGATGTCTGGAAAGAAGCGGGACAGCCCGTTTACTCTGTGCGCCACGCCGCAGAGCCGCGAGGCACGGCCGCCCGGGCGTCTGGGGTGAGTGAAACTGTCACACACAATAGAAGCCTCTTTATGTTAATATCTTGCTGCCTTGGTTGTGGCCGGATCTCAGTTTTCACCACCTAATACTTAGTAGATGAAACAAATCAGTAACTAAAGTCACTGTAGTATCTACCATGGGACTGCCATCGAAAAAATAAAAGAAAAATTACCTGGGTTCTTTGCCACTCTTTGAAGAAATGCCCTAGACAGTCACTAGAGCAAAACATCTTCACTCTAGACCCTAAGGTCAAAACTTAAGCGGAGACCTCCTGGGTTACCCAGGAAACTAATGATCCCCCCGTCAAAGAGAAGCTCTGTTTGGGGAGGTCCGCTCTAGATACGGAGACTACGTACGTAGTATTTACACTGGTAAACGTCGGCTTTGTGAATCTTAATTTAACTCAAGCTCTCTACACAGATCGTGATTGTTCACTCCAAAGTCCCTCTCTGGAGGTGACGTTCTGCAGCGGCAGCTGGACAGGTGTTCCCGTCGCGGAAGCCCTTACCCAGGCAGACGTGGCACGTGAAGACTTTCTCGAGGAAGTCTGTGAGGTCGCCCCTCGCGGGCAGCACCAGGGCGTGCCCCACCGCCGTGTTGTTGATCTGGTTCGGACAAAAGAAATTTTTGGTCAGAGTGAACGTGGCAAGTAACTATTTGAAAATATAGCTGAGGAAGTCACATCGACTAATCAAACTTCCCAGTAGCTCGGTATCTTCTCACTGCGGGGTGGAGTAGGCGCTGAGTATAACAGGAAAACACAGGTTTTATTCTGACGAGATGAGCCGGAATTCAAATCCCACTCACATATTTCTGCTGGGCCCAAAGCAGAAAGTGTCTAACGGCCCCGGGGCTCCGTTTCCTCCACCGTACAATGGAGATAAAAGTTCCTTCCTAATGGGATTGTTTGGAGGATTAAATTAGGTAGTGTGTGTAAAGTACCTGGGTATGCTCTAGCAAGTGTTGGGGACATCAGTATTGTCCTTGCTCCTGGGGACAGCAGCCGGCAAGTGCAAGCCCATCTCTGCCCACCCTCCCTGGTCTTGTGAACAACAAAGCAAGCCACGAGACCGAGCAGAAGCAAAACGTCCTGCCCATCACAGCTCCTGGTTCACACTTGGTAATTATTCACTTAAAGAATGACCAATTTGAATGAAAGAGTGAGTGAGTAATGAACGCATGAATAATTTTCTGATCTTGCTGAAACCATGCTGAGAAACATGTGGTTCCGGGTCACTGGGCCCATGCAAGGGCAGATGCTCTGTGCAGTGGTCCGTGGTCACAGTGGCCTGCAGTTTGGTAGAATAAACACTGAGGGACGGCGGCAGTGACCCAGCTGTCACTGGCTGACATAGGTGGTGACGAAACCATAGACTATCCAGTTTGGAACGAAAAACACCAGAGATCATCTCGCCCGGCCTCATCTTACAGGTGGAAGATTTAAGACACAGAGAGGTGAAGTGCAGGTGTGTTCTTTTAAGCGAGTGGGTGGGCTGGAACTAGAGCCCAAGCCCCCGACTCCTGGCTGGGGCTCTTTCACTCCTACCATCATCCATGTGCCTTGAGCGGCACCACCAGAACACACTGAACAGGTATTGATTGATATAACAATTAAATACGTTATTTAATCAAATGACAAGGGGCTCGTGGCTTCTCCATGGACTGACTGTTGGAAACTGGCTAAAGGAGGGTTGGCACAGTGGTTCAAGTTGGGAGTTCTGGGTCACCAATGCTTTGGAGACCTCACTAAGAGACTGCAGGCCTCCAGGGTGGGCCACCCTAGGATGATTGCCTTCCGGGCTGGTCAGGACAGAGTGGGATGGGCTGTCACAGCACATGGGCTGCAGAGTCTGAGTGACTAGGGTCTCATCCTCACGTGTACCCCACCACCACTGCAGAATCTTCTTACCCACGAGATGAGACTGACAACACAAACCCCACCGACCTGTCCCAGGAAGTAGATGCCAAAGACAGAGTGTCACACGGCTCAGAGTGACCGCACGGCGGGGCCATGTTGGGAGGAGCCAGACCAGATCCAAAGGTCCAGGTCCTCATGAACAAAGCAAAGAAGCCACAACGCCCCCATCAGTAGCTAGAGTGTCACCAGTGCTGACATCTCCACCTGGCAGTGAGGACACGAGCCTCACTCACTGCCAAGAGATGTCAACATGTGAGCAGGGACCCGCAGGGACTGAGTTCCAGCCACCTGGACGTCCCTCTACTGCTGCGGCCATGAGACTGTCCTGGAGATTTCACCAAGAAGTTCTCAGCCAGACTGGCCTCGCCTAGGACCTTTTAGAAGCTACGGGACAGGAATCCACCACGGCGCATGGATGTGCCTGACACCTGCCACAAGCCCAGGGAGACAGGGAGACGCCCTGGGGCGCTGACCTGCAGAGCGTTGATGAGCTGCCGGTCCTCCTGGCTCGTGAGGAACAAGGGCGTGACCCCCGCGTCGTAGAGCTTCAGCACGGCCTCTCTGAGCTCCGGGGACGCGCGCGTGGGCCTGTTGCTGAAGAACAGGGCCACCTTCCTCATCAGGAACCCGTTCCGCACCCTCTTAAATGTGTTCCTGGCCACGAATGACATGGCGGTTTCCAGGCTCTGCTGTTTGGAGGTCAGGGCCACCTGAAGGTTCTTAATCTTGTCCAAGAGCACGGACTTCCTCTTGGAGTCAGCAAACCGGATCTCCGTGGTCACCTCGTTGTTGTAGGTGACCACGGCCACGCGGGCCCCCCGTGGGCAGTTGCTCTCGGCGATGGTCAGCTGGCCCACGAGGCTCAGCAGCACGTCCCTCATCCGGTTGAAGGTGTCCTGGGTGACACCCTCGGAGGTGTCTAACGCGAAGGCCAGCTCCGTCGGGTAGACGGGGCACTCCAGGGGCCCTGGGGAGAGTGGGGGGGTTTCCGGAGACAGACGTCACTCACTGCAAAAGGGCGGGACCTTCTTTCCTCCGAAGGAAGTCCCGTCCCTGGAGTGAACTTACCATAGCAGCACGCTGTAAAAGAAAGAGGGAAGAAAGAGTGAAAGGCGCGTTTGCGCGTGAGAGTTTCACATGTAAAAACGTACACCGTCGCAGCCGGCAGAAAGCCATGTACTTACGACATTTATCTTTGATGCTCTGCACCAGGCCGCATTGCTTTAAAAGAAAACGAAAGAACAGGTAAGAAGAGCGGGTGGCAGGCACGCAAGGGGACGACTGACTCAGGACACACACAACTTACGTCGATGGAGTCTCCTCTGTTGCCCTTGTGGCCCTGTGAAACCAAGGAGGGGCAGCTGAGATGGGTGCCAGAAGTACCGACGTAGAAGGTAAAAGAAGGTTCTCTGGCCCACGGAAGCACGGCAGAGGATGTGGGGGGGGGGCTTTGGGACACCTTGACCATCGACTGTCTCGCCCAGTAAATCTGACTTGATCACTTGGAAAAGCAAAAGGTAGAAGACTTTGGGAACAAAAGTGTCTTCCCCCGTAAGGTAGCTTGGCTTTGGAAACAGCCCCGTGTCCTAGAATCCTGGCAGCTCATCACCACTCCATGGAAATCGCATCTTTGAGCTGAGTCTAGACACTGCCCCCGCTAAGGGAGGAGACTCCTTTCAGGCGCTTGTTTAATACACCCCGTGCCCCAGGACAGGCAGCGAGGCACGGCTGCGCGCTCCTAGGCCCCTCCACGGCCAAGGCATCCTGGCTGGACAAAGCCAGGATCTCGGGGGTGGACTGGAGGCTGCCCCGGCATCCACACGCTGCCACCCTGGTGGTCCAGGAGCCATCCCATGGGCCCCTGGGCCCCTTTCCATGGGGCTCTCTCTGCCTGCCTGGTCTGCTGCGGGACTGGCCTGACGTCCCCCCTTAAACACCCCACCTGCTAAAGCAGCACCTGACCGGCCTTCTTCCCCCTAGTTCAACCACACTCATCCCTTAACCTTGCCTTCCTGGAGTGATCTTCGGACTCCTGAGTTATCTTTTCCATTCCTCTTTGAGCCTCATCAATTTCAACACAGGTGATCTAACCCACTGCCCTGAGAAATTCAGATAAGGACACTAAGACAATACGCATTCAGATAAGGACACTTATCTGAATAAGTGTCATCCAAATCAGATAAGGACACTAAGAACAATACGCATGTTGTTGAGGGGCTGGGGAGAGGGGGACATCCTCCCGGCCCCCAGTGGCAGCATGACTGGTGGGCTTGAGACCATGAGTGGGGAGCTCCCCTGGGGATTTCATGGACCAAAGCAAGCACCCCCCAAACCAGGGCCTGACATCACTGCGCCGCTTCTACAGCATGCAAGCGGGAGGCATTCAGACGTGCTCTCTTTGGCTTCTCCCGTGCACAAACCTCAAACAAATCCAAACCAGGAAACTATTACAGGCAAATTATAATACACCCTAGATTTCAGAGTGTCACATGAAATGTTTTTTAGAAAGTTTCTCATTACTCTAAAATTCAAAATCTCTTTTCTCCATTAAGACGTCAGAAAGGAAGTGGCTAAGAAAAACCAATGAGAGCAGTGCGGAACACCTTCTTTGTGGGGAAGGGCGATGGGGGAAGTTTTCCCAGGCCGTGTGTGAAGCACCCAGCCCCAGGAGCTTGGTCGGAACTGGACGAGTACTTACAGCCGGTCCTGGGTAGCCGGGGTCCCCCTTCTGCCCGACTATTCCTGGCGGTCCGGAATTTCCCTAGAGGGCAGAGCAAGCATCGTTCAGTCGGGGTTGGGAGACTGAAAGTTCTCGGCTGGGCAGTGGAAAGGGATAGTAAAGGTGATCTAACCCACTGCCCTGAGAGATCTCTCACTTTCAGGGAGACTAAGTGTCTCCTAAACTCGAGTACGGGGATAAGTGACCTTAGCAAAGCCGATGGGAGCCCCCACAACTATAGGGGTGCTGTGTTCTCTGACAGGTGAAGCTAAAACAGATGCCTGTCCAAGAACCGTTAGTAAGATAGTAAATTTATCTATAGATGCCCAAGGGAATTAGTAACAGATGATGAATTAGAGCAGGGGACCTCAAACTTGTAAACAGGGGGGGGGCCAGTTCACTGTCCCTCAGATCTTTGGAGAGTGCGCACTGTGGACCCAGGATGAGTCGGCTGCTAAGCAGGACAGGCAGCTGTGGCAAAAATACCCGGAGGGCCAGATAAATGTGCTAGGCGGCCCGCGTGTGGCCCTCGGCCCATAGTTTGAGGATGCCTGAATTAGAGCATCGTTCAGGATAGGTAACCAACCAAGGTTTTAACACCCTACCTTGGATAGTAAGTGATCTAGTTTGATCGTCTTCACTGATCAAGTTAACAGGAAAACTATGATTATTACGAACGGTACTTCAGGCCGAAAAGAACCGTTGGCAACGTTTACCCGTATCTAGGCCACAACTTGCTCATTCCAGACTCAGTGGCATCTTGGGGGTGAGTTAACACCCACTGAAAAGAGCGATCCGGACCCAAAGGCAGCGAGAGGAGGAGGCACCACTGGTGGGGGTGGGGGGCTCTGGTCTGGGCCTGGGCTCGCCCGTGAGCCCGGGACCCTCAGAAGCAGGTCCTGGGCCTCAGTGTGTGGGTGGGTGTGGCTGTAGGCGACTGCACACACTTCCGATGTCACCCGTTCTGAGACTGGAGCGTCCCCAGTGCGGTGCTGGGAGTGACCGGCTGGCCTTAGAGGAAGGGCTCTCGGGCCTGCCCGACGTGGCTGCAGAGGGACAGCCTCGGACCCCGGCCTGGTGGCACTCGGAGGACGCTGGTCTGGGGCTTGGAGTTCCCTTCCTTCCTCCCTGCCCTGTCACAGGCCAGGTTGCAGGTGAAAGGTTATTTTCAAAGAAGAGTAAGTTCTCAAGGCCCTCAGCAGTGAATCACACTGCTACACCCGCTCTCATTCCCCCCTGCAGCCCATGCCCAGGCAAACTCACCCTCCGGCCCCGGATGCCTTTGGGTCCTGACGGGCCATCTGCCCCAGGCTCGCCGGGGCCGCCCTGGGAAGAGAGCAGAGAAGGTGCATGCGTGTCAGGCCCTGGGGCGGAAGGTCTCGCTGAGAACCCCTAGGGCAGGTCCTCACGGGGTATCCGAACCGAATCGCCCAGGCCGCCAAGTGGTTAACTTTGATTCCCTTCTCTGGTGGGTCACTAGTGTATTTGTGGTATCTGCAGACAGCCTTCATTTGCTTAATCAATAATGATACGTATAGGTTATAGCATTTTACGGCTTATAGAGTACTTTGATTACACGTTATGTTATTTAAACCTCCTAAGCACCATGACAAGTGCGTATGGTCACCACCATTTGACAGATGAGGGACTTCTTAGAGAAGGCAGGGTCTTGCCCGGGGCAGCCCAGTTAGGAAGTGGCCGACCCAAGACTAATGCCGAGGTACTCTGATTTTCAGTCCCTGGACATACCGGGCTCATCCAAAACCTCTAGTGCTGCTCCAGGGGAGCATCTATTTACCTTTGGTCCTGGGTAGCCAGGGAATCCTCTTTCCCCCTGTAAAAGATAAAGAGGTGACTCAATTCTCGGTCCCTGTTTAAATTCATCTAAAATAAATGGATCGTGAAAGAAAGAAAAAAATCTACAAAATCATCAAAAGAAAACAATCACTCGAATACAACACAATTCAGAGGAATACTTCTTTTCAAACATATCAGAAGCTGTGCTTGCAGGAACCCCCGCCCCGCCGATACATACTTTTTTGCCTCTGCGTCCTTCTCCGCCAACTCCGTCCCGCCCGTCGTCTCCCTACGAGTGGGAAAGAGAGTCGCTGCAGGTCCCATGCCGGGCCCTGCCGCTGCCCTGGGCGGAGGGTCCCTGAGTCCCCGAAATGTTCCCAGACCAAGGTTCCCGCTCCCGCCCCGTCCTCCGAGCGGGAACCAGACGTGTCTGCAGACGGTCGGCCCCCAGGACCCCCCTCAGCAAAAACGGTGCGGGAGGACCACCGGCGCAGAGCACGCCCAGTAGCTTTGGGTAAAGATGCCGGTTGGCTGTGGAGTCAACGGCTCATGGAGCCAGAGGGGCTTGGAGTCGCAAGGGATGCGGGAGGGCAGTCGACTCCGCATCTCCGAGTCGTTGGTTCTACTGAGAGCGAGGACACCGAACTCGTCTCGGGGGGCCCCCGCCTTGCCTGTCCCCTGTGCCCGGCCGTACCCCTCCCCACCCTCGCTCCCTTCCTCCCACGTCTCCACCCCCAGACCCTCCTCCCCCGCGCCCACCCGCCCGGGTCTCTGCCGCACTCCCATCCAGAACCGGGCGCCGCTGGTTATTTCAAAAGAACCGGAAGAATCTGTGTGAGGCGGACACCGGCATCTCTAGGACGTTGCTACGATACGTAGCTAACCTGCAGTTTTAATCGGATGTCAGCACCTAGAGAGCCCCCCAAAGCTCTCTTGACCCCAGATTGACAGAAACAGAATCGGGATTGAGATTTCCTTCAACAGTGCAAACAGATTTTTCCCCCTGTGCTTCTGAGATGCAAAGTAATAGAAAGAGATGTTTTAAATTTCATTTAGCTGGAAAGACAACACAAGGAAAGAAACACAAGGGAAATATTTTGAAGCGTGGGGCTTATAACAGTCAAATCCACCTGGCCCGCGTTTGTACAGTGTTTCGGTACAGGGACTCGTTTTAGAAAAATTCTCAGTGGAGCGCACATTTCTGTGTCCTACGTAGAAATGTGCACTACAAAATCATTGTTAGGGAGTAGCCGGGGTGTTTTTAAACGGTGTTTTCAAAATTGAGTTATTGAGGTAATAATTTCTATTCTTAGGATGTCTCGTTCAAAAGAAATTGTTTCCTCCGTCTGGATTGAGACCTTTTCGAATGCAATTCCATCTTATTAATACCCCAAGGACATTTTACTCCTTTGCAGAAAAGCTCTAGTCACGCTCACAAAGCCTTTGAGAGACCGAAAACGAAGGCGGCTCGAGCTTCAGCACACACCACGTTCCACTGCATCAGGAAAACATGTCCTTCCCCACTGCCACGACACCCCTCCACCCTGGCCAATGAAACCCACTTGTTTTGAAGTTTGCAGCCGATGAGCAGCGGGTTTCACTATTCCTGACCGTACCCCCAGTAATACAAGGAGCAGGGCTCAAGTCACCCCCTGCGGGCCCCTCTCCCCGCCTCCCCTGCACCTGTCAGCAAAGAGCCAGCCACAGCAGGAGCCAGAGCGCACTAGGACCTTACCGTCTCCCCGCGAGGGCCGCGGTTCCCGGCGCCTCCCTTTGGTCCCGGGCCTCCGGGCTCGCCCTAGACGGGAGAAACGGCGCAGCTGAGACTCCGGGCCGAGGCTGGTCGGCCGCTCGATGCCACGCCCCGCTGGTCTAAGCGAGGGTGCCACCACCTGCTCGCTTAGAAATGATTTTTCTAAATTGCAATATTCCTGTGTGGAGTCCCGCAGAAGCATCCAGGAAGGTTGGCGTCTGTCCCTTCCACCAGCGTGGCATGGGGGACCGGCTGATGGGCGAGAAGGAAGCAGCCGGGAGAAGGCGGCGGGCATGGAATTCAGTAAAGCCCAGCACCACGGGCGAGGCAGAGAGTCACATGGACACATTTGTTTAACTGAGAAAACGCTGTCTTTTCGGGCTGGTTACGACGGACTGTGGCTAATCTCGAGGCTGGCAGGAAGCGGGCTCTCAGGCAGCCTTCAAACAACACACCTGGTGTCCGGAATAGTCAGGACCCGGGTCTCCCGGATGCTCTAAACAGGGTTGGCAGCCCGGCTGTGCGTGCACCGCCCCTGGTTAAAGACCTCGCGGCCCACACGATCTCAACTGCACCCCGCCCCACCCAGCTGCCGACAAGGCTCAGAAGACGCTGTGACCTGCCACCTGCCAAGGCAAGAGAGTCAGATGATCTGCTGGCGGCGGCGGCTCAGGCTAGGAGATGGCAGCCCACGGAGCAGGGACGCTGGCTGGGACGGGGACCCCACTGGCCGAGCTGGCTGCCAACGGAGAGGCTGGCGTGGAGACCAGCAGTGGGGAGGGGAAGAGATGCACAAACTAAGCCTAAGCCACGGGACAGACTGACAAAAGAGGGCGTGGGGCCGGGTGCAGCTGGCCGGGTCCCTGTCCTTAGCAAAGCTCTACCTTTCTCCAGACAAACCTTTCTTCCCAGGGGCCCGGTTCTGCCACGTTCTCCAGGGGCACCGGCGTTACCTACGGGTCCCTGGAGCGCAAGGAGAGGAGTGTGTCAGCGAGGTCTTCAGCCGTCCGAGCAAAGGCATCTCTGAATCCCGGCTCCCCCCACTCCGCCCCAGCCCTGCAGGGGGGTCAGAGCCCGACACAGGCGTGTGACTGTCCTGACTGCAGATCGCAAGCACTAATTAAGAACGGCACACGGGGCTACAGACTCGATACAAACATGCGTGGAAATGGCCTGTGCAGATTTAAAACACTAGCATTACCTCTCAGCGCCAGTTTACACAAATTAATGCAGATTGCAATTATTAACATGAACATGCATCTAGTAGGTTCCTGCCTGGCCCCAACAAGCCCCAGATTTGACGTGACTTTGTTCGCCCGGTTCCCTTTTATACCCCCATGATGACACCTGATTGTAATACCAGGCTAATAAACCTGTAGTGAATTACCACCAATGTGGTGAATAATACAAACAACTGATCCGGAAGCCTTGTGAAACGCGGCGCCGAGCCTACACAGCCCAGACATGCCCAGAACAGGCAGTGGCAGAACCACAAATCAAAAAATGTCTACTGGGGCTATGCCTTGGACTATCTGGAACAGCTTTCTGTGTCTAGGCCAGCTTACATTCCTTGATTACCTAGCAAAGTTAGATAGTGTTTTTAACAATCTCACAAAAGCTTTACAAAAATAATTAGTTATCAGTTCTCGACTACGAGAAGGCTTTCCTAAGCCAAATCCTGCTGCTTCCGACTTAAAAAAATGTTCTTTGCAGTTCTTCTGCTAGCGCAACAACCAGCGTTCACTTCATTCGTCATTTGTTTTCCTGCTAACCAACATGAGAGCAGTCTCTCCCTACATAGTCATCCTCAGATGCGAAAGCCGGTCTATCTGTAACCGGAGCTCTTCGGGGCACCTGAACCGCCACCATCAACAGCAAGGTCCTTCTCGCTGATCGTCTGCGCTGGATAGCTACATCTCATGCAACGTCGTGGGCCACAGCACACCTTCTATGCTCGAACTTGAAGATAAACTTGAGCAACTTTCTTATACCAGCCATACTGAACCCGAGGAGCCAAGCATGACACCGCCTCGGCACACACTGCTAAGGATTCTTATGTAGCATTTACGATTTTTATGCAATTCTTCCTTGAGCTCCTCTGACATGAGCAAATGTTCCCTTGCTTACCCCCCCTGGCAGCCTATTTTCTGGACACGGACTATGACGTTAGGCATTAAGAAGGCCCCTGGAGACAACCAAGGAAAAACAGAGACAAGAGAATCTTACATTCTTGGATAGACAAGAATAGCCAGAGCAGTAGAGAGGGAGAGACTAGGGGCATGGATGCAGGGTCTGTTGCCAAAGAGAGCGGGAGAGAGGAGAGCTAGAGA